TCACATACCCAATCATAAAATCGAGATTAATGGAAAAAGTATCCGAGAAGCAAATCAAACAAAATTTCTTGGAGTGATTATTAACAAACATCTTTATTGCCACTACCATATTCAAATCATACATAGTGAAATAGCAAAGCTATGTGGTTTAATAAGTCTAACTCGAAATCATGTTAATAGAGGCGCACTTATGTCACTTTATTACACCTTAGTTTATCTTAACATTACATATCGCCTTACAGTGTGGGATGGGGCGAGCAAAACCTCCCTCAACCCAATCGTTTTGATTCAAAAGAGAGTTGAAAAAGTAATAAATAATTTGTGGAACTGTGGCCATACCAACAATGCTTTCAAAGAGCTGAAGTTATTAAAATTTAACGATATAGACACACTAATATGTGCCGTTTATACATACAAATGCTTGAATTGCCCGGACACATTCCCCAATTATTTCCCAACATAAAAAAAAAAAAACATTCTCGAAGAGACTACTTTAGACTTCGCCAACCACTGGTCTCATCCTCCCAATCACACATAAGTTATCGTGGAGCTCTAATATATAACAAATTACCACCTAACATTAAAAGTAAGCCCTCTTTAAATTGCTTTAAATCCACTCTAAAAAAAGATTTTACTAAACAAATATTGAAAACAGTAGAATTGCTATATTATTACTGTCTTACCTTTATTTCCTGTAAACACGTGCTTTCTAATACCGGTATTATTGGTAGTATATGTACGTATATATATGTTTGTACGTATATGTATGTATGTGTATGTATGTGTTTGCATGTATGTGTATATGTATATGTATATATGAGTGTATGTGTGTATGTATATATATATATATATATATATATATATATATATATATATATATATATATATATATATATATATATATATATATGTATATGTGTGTGTGTGTGTGTGTGTGTGTGTGTGTGTGTGTGTGTATGTGTATGTGTATGTATGTATATGTGCTATGTATATATATATATATATATATATATATATATATATATATATATATATGTGTGTGTGTGTGTGTGTGTGTGTGTGTGTGTGTGTGTGTGTGTGTGTATGTATGTTTTATCAATGTGCTAGTGTACTATTACTGAGTAGTAGTAGTACAAAAATGTTCGTATATAACCCTGTTTTACCTTTGTGTTGTATCTTAATATAACGTGTTTTTGTAAATTAGAATTAGTATCTTGCTTACATTTGTCTACTTTGCAAGAAACACAGGCAAAAATTGGAAAAGGTGAAAAGAACAAGTTGTAGATATCTTATTTTTCTACAAAATGAGCCATAATACGTTAATTGTGGGCAAAAATTGTGCCTGTGAGGATTTCCACGATACCTAAAGGTGGTGTACCGAGATATCGGCATTTTTCGTTTTCTTCATCTTCCCATGACTATTTTTACCTGAGGTTTGTCTTAACCTAATTAATATTCCATAAAATTTTGGTGGTGATCCGGATAATTTGGCAATCCTACCCCCATTGGGGGGGGGGAGGTTTGCATTTTCGAAATGTTTTGCTCATAGATCAAACTATGTATGATGAAAACATAAAGAAAAGAAAATACTCATGTACGGCATATCATATTTATTTATTTGTATGAAAAAATCATTATCGTTCTTTGGACGTTAGCAGATTTTAAAAAATATTCCGAAAAAAATGAAGGTTGGTCTCATCTGACGTGAAATTTAATCTTTCAGAAAATCTCATTTTTTATTATCTGTAATCATTGCGTCACAATTGCCGATTTTCTAAGGTAACGTAAAAAAAAAAAAAAAAAAAAAATCAGTCGACATCGAAAATGGCTGCTACCACCTAAAAAATAGCGGTCGGGCCTTGAAATTTTCAGGGGAGAACCGGGGCTTAGGAACTCCTTGAAAATGCATTTAACTCGATTTCGGCAAGATGGGCGAAAATCGCCGAAAAAAGACCAGACGGTCCCTTCAGAACTAGGTTCAAATGCTGTAGATATTTAAATGTCCTAGATATAATGCTAAGGATATTGGATCGTCTACACGATGGTTCAAATATAGTGTATTAGAACGTATGGGTAAATCTGCAGGAACTCTCCTACCTCTAAGCAACCTTTTTCTGCTGCCCGCCAGCAGCAGGAGCTTCAAAATTCTGTCTGCAGCTTCTAACAGGCTCTACCTTCCCATCTCAGAATCTCTGAATATACACGAGCTGAAACCAGACCTAAACAATATTACACCTATTCACTCCTTTATGGCGCAATTCAATTGCCATAACGAGCACTACTCACAAGGTACAGCTCACTCTCATATACAGGTTTTGTATTTTTTCACATCCAGTCTGTCCGTTCCAATTTATTTCCCATTTGTACCCAGTATTGTTTATTTCATGAGCTATCCTTTTTGTTGTTTCTTGTTTATCTAATCATATGTTAAATGATTTCTAGTCTGATGTTGTAGATCTAAATCTTCGAAACGTTACAATATGTTCACCACAGCCCTGGT